CGCCCGGGGCGGCTACGAGCCTCACTTGGCCCCATCCGCGGAATGGGCGGGCGCAGACCCGGGCGCTGCCTGCCCCTCACCGCAGGAGCGACTTGGGGAGCGCTCAGACCAGACCCTCCACGGAGAGGGCCGGTCCGCGGGGAGCTCAGGGAGCGAACTCCGCGCTAGGGATGTGCAGATGAGCTCACGGTTTGCGAGAGAGGAGGGTGACCCGCTTGGGCTGCATGTGAAGGGAACCTAGGGGCTCCTTGGTCTCGCTGACTTTCTGAGGAAGGTAACCCTCTCCATTTGGCCCGTAACCCTAAAAGTCATGAGGGACAAGGTTGCTGTGATCGCCAGACTTAGAAGTCCTCAAAGTGTCCCAAAGTTGCTCTGTGCTAGAATCCTGCCTCTGGGACCCCCCTCCCCAACGCGCGCGCGCGCGTACACAAACACGCTCACACACACGCTCGCCCGAGCACGCCCCTCGTCCTCACGCAGGCACTGCCATCGCATGTGCTTGCTTTTAAAGCATGTCGCCTGTCACTCGCGGCTGAGGTGAGACCTTCCTAGCTTACATCCCGCCAGCCTTCCCTAGACTGAGCTTCGAAACGGGGCTCTGTTCCCATTTGAGACTTTCATGAACCCGTAATGAATTTGAGTTCTCCCTCCTCGCCCTCCCTCTCTCTGCCCAGCGCAGTTCCACAGCAAAGCCCATAATGAAACAGGACACTGCGAGGGTTACAAACCTTAGAAAAGCTCCAACACCCCCCCCCCCGTGAATCTGTGGAAATGTCTTTAATAAAACGGAGCGGAGGCGGCGCTGGAGAAGAGAAGGAAAGTTTTGCCTCTGTCTGGGAGATTCCCTCCTGCACAAAGGGTCGTCCTCGTCCTGGAACCTCTCGAAGTGAGAATAGGGCTTCCCCCTTCCCTTCAGCCAGGAGACTTACAGAGGCGCTTAGCCATCCCACCCCTTACGCTGTCTTCGAAGGGAAAGCTCCAAGCTGTTCAGGCAGTCGGGGTTGTCTCTCTTTGGCTTGGACTTTCTGTAACATTGCACGGACTATCTTTTTATATAAAGTCCATTTCGGGGGACCCATAGTCTGTTGTTATACCAAGAAGATAACCTCTCAGAACCCCCACTTCCCAAGTACCAAAGGAGAGCAAGAATGACTTCACACACACACACACACACACACACACACACACACAAGTGACGTCATCGCATGCTATTTTTCTCCTTTTCTACGGAAGGAAGAGGGAAACCAAACCGATCTCATTCACATTCACCTCCCAAGCCCTAGTGAGCTAGGCAGAGGTATGATATGGAGCAGTAAACACATTATTCAAAAAAATGACGATGACGGTGATCATTCGGGGCATGTGGCATGTTTACTTCTCTTTCTAAACATATGGAAAGTGCTGTCTGCTGGGTGGAGGTTACAAAAAATGAGTAAGTTTGTTTTTTTTCCTAGTCCTTACCTGTCCTATCAGTGATTTGGAAGGTTTCCCCTCTTAAGAGGGTACGCAAGTACTATTGGTGAAAGGTCGTGAATACATATGTCCGGGGTTCCCCGGGAGACTGCTTTATAAGTGTCTGTAACTCAGACAAGGGTCTCTCCTCACATCGTTCTCCTGAGCACTTATTCACTCACTCAAAGATTGTTGCAGTAAAATACTTTCATTGGATGGGGGAACGTTAGGTTATTATTGCTTGTGTAAAATGCCTGGTCCATTTATTGTGTGGAAATAACATTCCTCTCAAAAGGGGGAAAAAAAAAAAAGGCACGGCTGTTGTATAGCACCAGAAAGCCAGGAGCTTTTCTCCAGAGGATTCTGGTGGATTTTTTCCCCCTCCCCTAGTTGAGTCGGAGCCAGATTTGGCGGTGTGTAAACACCTGGCCGCCAGCCAGAAAAGACTCACTCTGCAGTATCCTCCACACGGTACAGAGTGTTGGACTAAAAAGAACCTGCTTCTCCTTGAATTAAAAAAGCAAACAGAGGTTCTTTACAGAAGTACTTTTTCAGCTCCCCCCTTGGTGGAAGTGAGGGCTGGGAGAGGCTGCCAGAGGTGGGTGCCAAGGGGCATCCTCTGGTGGTGACCCCGGCTGCCCAGGTCGCTGCCTGACGTCCGCTGCCTTTCTCGGGCTGGGCATCACCACCTTCGCAGGAATCCCTGGTCACCTATTTGAGAGCAGCCTTCGCTCAGCAGGGACCGCACTGCTATTTCAGGCAGAGGGTTGCTGCCTTGCTGTCACGCCAGGCTTCCTTACATCATTCTTTGCTGCAGGATTCAACTGGGCTTCGTAAAGATCTAATTTTACGGTGCCGTTAACCGGGTCTGTCGTCTGGCAGAGGCAGGCCCTGACACTCCTGGTAGGTGGGTGTTCTCCCAGACCTGCCGACCTAGGATGCTGTTTCTGCCCTGGTTCAAACTCTGCTGACATGGATTCAGACGGGCAGGCGTTCAGAGAAATGGGGGAGCGGGGAGCAGTTTGTTTTTGGAGCTCAGAAAACACGCCTCTCATTTTTCTGAAGGGGAAACAGAAGATATCTGTATATTAATAAATAAAGAAGGAAAGACTTATACAGGCAAAAACAAAGCTGAAGTCAGAAAGTGCCTGTATGCAGGGATGTCCTGCAAGCCCCCTATAGCAATGCGTATGTCTTTGGGACTGAATAATCTTTGCAGGCTACTGCAACCCAGCTACCCAAGCCAGTTATCCTTGTGACCAAAAGCGGGGAAAGAGACACAGAGAGGGGTGGGGTTTGTGGGGATGATGGCGCTCCTTGGTGGAGGGAAGTAGGAATTAGTCCCTTGGCATCTCCACTTCCAGACCTTGCCCCATACTTCCCTGGGAGGACCACTCATAAATGCCATCACCTCTCACCCCACAAAGACCACCACCCAGGCACCAGCCCTCCCGTGTGGCAGTGTGAACTTCCTTTCAAATTGTGGAGGGAGTTGCTTTTGACACACCCCACTGCTTTTGTACCACACTAGGCCAGATCCAAACCCCTGCCCTTCATCCCCAACTGTGCCCCCCACACCCCTCCATCTGGAAGAAAGAGAAAGAAAACAATAGACTCAATTTTCTCCTTGGAGCAGAGGCCCTGAGCAGCAGTTAATCTTGTTAAAGTTTCTCCTGACCTGTTAGATAAGTGAAGTGTGGACCCCACAAGTGTTACCCTCCTCCTACCCCATCCCTACTCGCCTTCCTTCAGGGATTGGAATTCCTACTCTGAAGGAGAAAGGGATTTACCTGAATCCTATCCAGCACCTCAGCTTGCCAGCATTGTTTCTTTTGTTCTAAATGTTGGAATGGATTAAGTTTGCTGGTTACTCTCTGGAGTCTTTTTTCCCTCCCTTCTGCAGCCCCCGCCCCACTTCCTACTTCTCACTCAACCCCTCAGAAAGAGTGGGGCTAGGTTTTAAAGAGTTTGTGTATTAATATGGCTCTCTTTTCATTTACAGTCCCATCTCGGACCCAAAATATTGCAATGGTTAGACCTCAGTTCTAGTGGCCAGGTTACCTAAGTGTGAATCCACCTTTGCCCTTAACTAGCTGTGTGACCTGGGATAAACTAGCAGATTTTACTGGGCTGCAGCATCCACAAGTTTGGCCTGGACACCTATCTCATAGGGTGGTGTGAATTTAGATGCGCTTACGTGTGGAAGTGTTTACAAGGGACTTGTACAAAGTAAGTGCATAAGCAAAATTCACTCTTGGTATTAGACAAGCTTTTCCAAAGATCTCAGCCTTGGGTTTCTGGACTGAGGACAGTTAAAGACAGGAAGTAAATTTGATCTTCCTAGGCACCTGTAAGATGGCAGACACTGAACTAGGACTTTGCCTTATGCCTTTCACCCTTACTGCCACCCTGGGAGTGGGCATCATGAACCTACTTCACTAAAGAGGAGTCTGCACCTCACAGAGTTCAAGTTTGGACTTGGACCAAAGTCCTGCAGACCTTCGGGTAGGCAGAGCCCATGGGGGCACTCAGGTCCCAGGTGTCTGTTTTCTCTGTCAGCAGTCAGAGTGCCCTGTGTTCCCTTCCTTAATCCTGCTGCAGAATCTGCAGAAAGTTTCCGTTTCTTTCATCATTTCTATGTGCCACCATGAAAATGCAAGTAAAAGAAGGGTGAGAAATGGGAACAGAGCCTCATCATCCTGGGAATTTGCATTTGACTTAGCAGGTTTGTTTTACTCAGATCAAATAATCAAACAGGCTTGGAATCACCAGCTACTTACTGTGTCATCTGAGTTGTCATTTTCTCTTTATCCTCAGTTTCCACCTGTGTTAAGTGGGCACAGTGATTTCAGGACATTTCAGAGACGTGCACATGAAGAAAAATCCTTGTACAACGTCAGTTCGTATGAGGGACTCAGTCATGGGGAGCTGAAACTTGTAAATAGCCACACTTTGGATTCCTGTTTAGGAGCATTGTCTTCTGAAAATAGGGTCTATTAAGCCATTTTTAGGGTATACTCTCCCAACTTGCTGGGGAATTTATCTAGTGTGGGCAGGGTCTGTTGGGGAAAAATTAGTCTTCAGATCTATTTATTTATTTATTTATTTATTTATTTATTTATTTCACTTTGACCTCTTTCTGGACATGTTGAGTGGCCCTTTGCCAGTGAGAGCCAAAAAGTCTAGAACCGCTGATACCTGCAAATAGGAAAACCGGTTGGTGTGGCAGGGTAGCAGGCAGTCCCAGGAATGGAAGCCAGACATTAGTTACAGGTCTATTGGCACATACTTCCTGGAAATTAGTCTTGATCTATTTATTTATTTATTTATTTATTTATTTATTTATTTCACTTTGACCTCTTTCTGGACATGTTGAGTGGCCCTTTGCCAGTGAGAGCCAAAAAGTCTAGAACCGCTGATACCTGCAAATAGGAAAACCGGTTGGTGTGGCAGGGTAGCAGGCAGTCCCAGGAATGGAAGCCAGACATTAGTTACAGGTCTATTGGCACATACTTCCTGGTTTCTTCGCAGGTGCCCTCCAAACTCTCACTTTCCCTTACAGTGCCTTTCATTTCAGCTCAATCGGAGTGACAGGGACTGCAGGACCCACGGAATGGAGCCTCTTGTTTCCCTTTGCACAGTGGAAGCCCAGAGTCGTGGGATGGGTATGGCCAGCTCAGGCCTAAACTGGCAGTCACCTAGGTCAAACAAATCACTGTACAATGAGGAAGTTGAGAGCAAAAGTCACACGAAATTATATTCATAGAGCTTCCCCTCTTAAAGAAGCCTTGGAAATCCTTTGGTTCAGTGGTTTCCATTCCAGGCTGCACTTGGAATCACCAGCTTTTATTAACACCCTTCAGCCCAGGCTAGACTCTTACATGGGCCTGGAGTTGGCCTGAGCACTGCTGTTTCTCAAAACACTTCCTAGGCAGTGTTGAAGGGCCAGTGGGGGAGAGTCGCCAATCCTGTGCTCTTGTTCTACAGGTGAGACAGGTGAGGCCGAAAGCAGAAGTATCCCCTGCTTACTGCGCTGGTTAATGGCTAAATCTTTAGAGAAATTGAGCTGTCCCAGCTCTCAGTGTCCAAACACCTGGAAGGACCTTTCTTCCATCTTAGGTCCTCTTGTTCATTTTAAACCTCTACCTACCATAGTCCTCGATAATCTATTTTTCCAATGTGTGGTCTCACGCCCTCTCCTTCTGGTGCCTCCTTTAAACTGTGAATGCTCCTGCTAGAGGGTCATGCAATGAGCCCCATGCACCTGATTTCAAGTGGATCTCCCTCCCAGACTGTCAGGAGGGAGCCTACCTGAATAGGAATAAAAGGAAGCTCAAATCAGAGGCATTTATTTACCACTTGCACTAATCCAGTGGGAAGGGGTGTGTTCCTACTTTTTCAGGAACTTCTCACTTTGTGATATCTCTGAAACCAGCACTGATTTCTCTTCTTCAGAGGAAGAGAAGATAGGGAAGCCCAACCAGGACTCCTTCAATGGTTGTCTATAGCTTGTCTACCTAAGGGCAATGCCTCATACATCCAGCGGGCATCTATTTTTCCCCTTGCCAGCTTCTCCAGATTTTAGTTCCCTTTCCTTTCTTCACTCTTTTCTTCCTCCTGTTGCATCAAGAACCCCAGTTCTTGCCTGATGCAGCTACTGGATATGTTCACCTGGGATTTTGATGCCAGTAACTAAGACAAAGCATAAGTTTCTGCCCCTTGGCTGTGTGAAGACCTGAAACTGAGCACTAGGAAGTCAGAGTTAAATTCAAGCTTGATGTCCTCTGAACTGTGCAGTTTTCAGGTGTGAATATGTTCAACATCTTCATCTCACAGTTGTCATGGGGACCAGGTGAGACAATGGCAGGGAAGCTTTTGGCTGAGCAGAACCCAATGTATATGTCAGGATGTTTAGGAGGAGCCAGAAGGTGAGAAGAGATGTGTGAATGATTTGAGCAGCCAAGGTCATTCCTGGAAAGGTGCCTTTATTATCATCATTCACACCATGGATGATAAATTGCGACTGAGTTAGCAAACCTTTTCATGTTTGTGACCTCAGTGGAGTTTTTTGACTCTGGGACTTCACAAGTCTGCTGCACCCTGCCAGTTACTGCTATGTGAAGTCGTCACTGTTCTCAGGATGGGAAGGAAGGACAGGGATGGAATAAGAACACTCACAGTGCAAGCTAAGGGAGGAGATGCTGGAGGATGGAACACTGCCTCTCCAGCCTTCCCCTTACCTCATGGTGTTTAATCAAAATCACCTTTGAAAGAATACATTCCCCCATTACAAAGAATTTGGTTGGATGGAGTCTGACATGAGAAAATCATTCACTTGCTCAGGTGTGATTATAGGAATGCCATATTTTTCTAACATATCCTAAACCATTAAAATGCACACTGAAGTATTATGCATGAAATTATGGTAATTTTTTTTGTTTGTTTAGCTAAAAAGTTCCAGAAGAAAAGAT